ACACACACGGACAAACAAACAGAAGCAAAAACAAAAAACACTCGTTGGAAGTTCCATTCCGCCGCAGACAAAGGTAGATAAAACTATCTTTGGAAAGAAGAGGTAGGGCCTAGTACATGTAATTAGTTACTATTATTCTAGCAACAACTTTCCTCGCGTCTCATTCTTTAGTGTGAGGTTGGCGGGTGCTCTCGTGTAGTTTGCTTCTGCTTTCCTATCAAACTAACACCTGTCGTTCTTATTCTCGTCTCCTTCTTTTCTATGTTTGTTACTCTCTAGTATCACCTCTAATCTTCAGCAACTATATAATCTAGATCTATATGTGTTGCAAATGCCGTAAAACTCTTACAGAAAACTTAAAACCCCCAAAAATACAAACCCCCAAACAAACAAACAAAACAAGACCAAAAACAAAAACAAAAAACCCCCAAACAAACAACAAAGCACACACTCAAAACCCACAACAACAACAACAACAACAATAACAAAACCCCAACAAAATAAAGATAAACAAAAAACAAACAAACAAAGAAAAAATTAAGTTTAATTTTTGTCAGGTGAGATTGATCAAATATCTAATCACCACTCACGCCATTGTTTGACGCTGACACAAAGGGTCAAAACATGAGGGTTTGAAAAGATCAAAATTATGTGTGTATGTAAGCTTCGTTATTATATATTACTAGCGGGGCCCCCTTTCGATAAAAGGAATGATCGGTGCATTAAAAATCAACTGAAAGTCATTGGCCTACTCTACAATAAATCTTGAGAGATGCAAAAAATTAGAAGGTCTAGATCTAGATCTAGATCTAATCTAGATCTATACTCTCAAAAACAAATTGAAAATGCGCCTGCAAAATATCACTTCCGCACCTGATTTTCTAAAATTACAAAGACAGAAGCGTCGGCCTACAAAAGCGATCGGCGAAATAACGAAATTTAGTTTTTTGCTGCAAAACTGTTTCAAAACTGAAAAAACGAAAGGCGTCATGATCTGGAGAATATTTTAAAGAATCTTTTGGCGAAAACGGCATGTCGATCGATGCAGCCATTAAAAAGCCTTTTGAATAGCAAAATTCGGCCACCACAAATAGATAATAGATCACATATGCCACCATTGACGCAATGGAATACATGTAGCAGACAGCCTGCTTCCACTCAGCAAGTCAGGTGGTTGAATGGGACACACCACACGAGAAGAAAAACGGATATTATACTTGATAACAGATTATTATTTCTCCAGGCTGGGAATTGATTTCACATCTGGGGGCTCTTGTATCCTAGAGGTTAAGGTGTTCGCCTCTCATTCAAAAAGTCCCGGGTTCGAATCCGGATAGCGACGGAAAATGTTTTTCTCTTAAAATTGTCTCCTTTCACACCATTTCCTGCTCTCTAACTAACAATGTTCTGTCGCCTGCTTTCGTCTCCACTTTCTGTTCCCACCCCCTCACTTCCATTGCCCCCTGCTCTGGGCACCTGACTCTTTCTGCAGCCTTTCTATTTATTGCTGTCTTTCAGCCAAACCCCTGATCTATGGGATTTCGGCCGCCACCAGGGCAAAATTCAAACTTCCTACCAACTGAAAATGATTGTGTCCCGCGCGCCCATATGACTTTATGCAGTTGCGAAAGCCGTAAAACACTTACCCCCCAAAAAAATAAATAAAAAATTAATTAATTAATTAATTAAAAAAAAATTAATTAAAAGAAATTAAATTAAATTAAACAAAATAAATAAATAAATAAAAAGAAAAATCAATAAATAAAAAAATTCACATCTTCTCCCTTCTAACATCGGCGACTACCCTAACTATTACATCACAGACGACTCGGATGAAATCCTTATCTCTTAAGCCTGTATTACACGTTCAGTTAAAATTGACAGTTGTCCGACCTCTTTATGATACAGATAAGAAAAGGACAAATGGCGTAATCTCAACAAAGATGCGTCATGTTTTGTCATCTACAAAATCAAGCAAGAAAAAGTCCCAAGGCCGGAGGCACTAAACTCAAGCTATGTCTGATTTCTATTGCGGCCGACCGATCTGATAGTCTGTCACATCTGCAGCCCGTGGTGATAA